GTGCTGCGGGGTCAGGGTCAAGGGCTTTCTGAGTGAAATCGGCTTGAGTCTCACTCGTGTACAACAAACTATGCAATGATCTTTGGAAGCGCCCCGTTTATCGGAACAACATTGGGTTGCGTTGCAGGCCAATGCCATGCGCGCAGAAATATCTCGGGGTTCAGCCGACGTGGTCCTAGCGAAACCAACGCATTTGTAAGAGCGCCAGCAACAAATATATTCATGTTGGACGCAAGAACAGCACTTGCCATGAGATGCACTGGGAAGGTTTCGATTAAGCAGAAGGTAGTTTCTGGTGAGCTTGCGGGACACATGCAGTCGAAAAACTTGAGCGTGGCAAAGCATTGCATTCCCCAGCAGCAAAGTGGTGACTTGAGCGAATGACAAAAAGTTTCTGTCCGTTCGTAATAACAGTCCAAGACACCTATTTCTACATCTACTATCCAACAAGACATATGAACAAATTGTGGGATCCTTGAATGCAACCGACCGAGCATAGGAGATGTCACCGGCTCCGGCACTACGAGTAGGGTATATCGCTTCCTGAAACTATTTCGCCAGCCAAGGTAATTTATTGATAGATTTCCAGTATAATATGGGCACTCGCGGTCTTTTTTTGTCTAAAATATAGTACTCTGTCATTTGTGCCGATATTTAATGTGGTGAATTCTACCTTCTTTGTTGTTTTTATAGAGGCCGAATGCAAGCTTGATGGTCCCTTGTTCCCAGTTTTCTGTTTCTTCAGCTCCTGTCTCCCATCTCCCATCTCTCACCTCACGCTCCTGTCCTCGGTTTGATCAGAGAACCTAGAGAGATGTTAGCCTCCTGGTTACTTTAATGGCCAACACCAAGTTCGCGCAAGATCTCGAATACTACCTTGTGCACTGCGTGCGGGCGTGCTTGGGCCTCTGACAAGGGTCCTGGTCGATGGTGGCACGTCCTCTAAAGTCCGGGGACGCTAGCTGCCCTTAATTCTTAGCGCCGCCAACCACTCGACTTCACAGACTGACTCCGCGGGTCTTGCGCATGCTGGATATTTCTTGACACCACCAACCATCTCTCGACACTCACCCTGCGAAACGGCGGCACCCACGCTCTCCCCACACAGTGACCCAGTAGACGTGCCCGGGCTTCGAAAAACGACTAGAAAACCAGTACGTCCGTGCGACTACGTGCGCTCCGCCACCATCACCATCGCGTGTCAGGCAGGCCACCACGATCATACACCGGTGCAGACGCCTAGACAACTCAAGACTCAAGCTCGGACTCGATTCGACTGCGCTTCTATTCGGGTCGCCCTTGTATCCGCCACCATCACGAATAAACTTGCTCTAGGTGTCATACGACCAGCGCGCATACATCAGACTTGGGGTACTTGCTGCGAGGATGAGCGACCTCGACAAGTTTGTCCTCCACGACGCACCGTTCGTGCAAAGAGCCTGAAGCTGACACGCGCATTATAGAGCAATCGCTCAGCTGCGGGCATGTCGACCTATCCCAGAAGCCCAGGTCCGCGAACTCTGCCACAAAGCCCGCGAGCTTCTGATCGAGGAGGGCAATGTAGTCACAGTCACAGCGCCTGTCACAGTATGTCTGGTCACCACCCTGGCTCGATCTTTTAGGGCCACTCACGAGCAAGAAAACGGCTGACGTGGTTGTGATGGTAGATATGCGGTGACATCCACGGGCAGTTCCATGACCTCATGGAGCTCTTCCGCGTGGGAGGCGACCCCCCGGACACAAACTACCTCTTCATGGGTGTGTTGAACCCACTCTTGCCGGTGCACACGAGCGCCAACTCTGACATGATACACAGGTGACTTTGTGGACCGTGGCTTCTACTCTCTTGAGTCGTTTCTACTTCTTCTCTGCCTCAAGGTCCGCTACCCAGATCGAATGACGCTCATTCGCGGCAACCACGAGTCACGACAGATCACGACCGTCTATGGATTCTACGACGAATGTCTCCGCAAGTACGGCAGCGCTAATGTCTGGCGGTACTGCTGCGACGTATTTGACTACCTCGCCCTGGGCGCCATTGTTCTTGGCGCATCCAACAATCTCACGCCTTCGGACAACCCTGGTTCATCGCCACTCAACTGCGACCCCGACGATGTCGAGATCGAAGTCTGTAACGCCGACGGTGACCGGATCAGCGCTTTCCCCCGGCAGGACCGTGAGCGAAGCCAGTCTCAGAACCCCCAATCGTCGTCTGGTCTCAACGGCAACACTGGGCCCCCGGGCTCGGGCGCATCGGGTTCCAGCAACGGGTCCATGGGCAACCCAACAGGCGCGATCCTTTGTGTCCACGGTGGCCTGTCGCCGCTTGTCGATTCTATAGATAAGATCAGGTTCCTGGATCGCAAGCAGGAGGTGCCACACGAAGGACCCATGTGCGATCTGCTATGGTCAGATCCAGACGATATTGAGGGGTGGGGTCTGTCGCCGCGAGGTGCCGGCTTCCTCTTTGGCGCTGATATTGTCAAGATCTTCAACCACCGGAACGACCTGTCGCTCATTGCCCGCGCGCACCAGCTCGTCATGGAAGGATTTAAGGAAATGTTTGACGCGAGCATCGTCACAGTGTGGAGTGCGCCGAACTACTGCTACCGTTGCGGCAATGTCGCTGCGGTCCTTGAGCTGTTCGAGGAAGGCGGCGGTGACGGCATTCTCGCACGCAGTAATGGCGATATCGACCGGCAGCGCGTGGCGGAAGCAATGAAGCCATGGGATAATGACATACCCATTGTGCCTCGCAGCGGACCTGGACGGCGGTACCGCGTGTTTCAGGCGGCGCCGCAGGATTCCAGAGGCATGCCGGCCAAGAAGCCTGTGGCTGACTATTTCCTCTAATTGGAGGTGAATGAAGCCGATGGTTAGCGATGAGGAAGATCAATATCCTTAGCGTCGATAGATTTGCAAAAGCAGACTCTAGTAGTGGATAGGGTCTGAGGATTGTAGTTAGGACATTGTTCACGATATTAACAGATGGGCATCTTCTTTGTAGACCAAAGGGTTGACCGGCTCGGTATTGCGCTCGGGGAGTTTATGGAGTCTTGGTGGCATGGGATGACATGGCTCTAAAGTCTGCTTTCTTGAACTCATGACTGTAAGGTATGCATCGTGATTTTGTTATTCATGCCCTGAGTTTGTCTTAGCTTACACCAATGTTACTGCCCGGGCCCGAGATTCCTCTTCTCATGGACTCAGTCTCTCCAGAGTCCACTCAGCCTCGCCAGCCGGCTTGTCCTCGGAGCCGGGCTTGCGAGTATATACGAAACGATCGTGCAACCGGCTCTGCCGGCCCTGCCAGAACTCGATGGACTCTGGGACAATCCTCAGCCCTCCCCAGAACTCGGGCACGGGGATCTGCTCCTTGCCCTCAAACTTTGCCTCGGCCTCCTTGACCCAGTCCTCGAGCTGCTTCCTGCCGTCGTCGGCCACGCCCCTCGCCTGCTCCGTCGTCCCCGCGGCGTGGCTCATCGGCTGGAGGACCTGGCTCTGCCGGCTCGCCCACGCGCCGATCCTGCTGCCCCGCGCCCGCGTGTCGTAGTACACCTGGCTCTCGTTGCTCGGCAGTCTCTCGGCCCTGCCCTCGACGCGGACCTGCCGCTCCATCGCCTCCCACCAGAACGTCAGGCTCGCCCAGGGGTTCGTCGAGAGGTCCCTGCTCTTTTGGCTCGTGCCAAAGTTGCTGTACACGACAAAACCCCGCGCGTCGAGCTCCTTGAGGTACACCATGCGCGCCGAGACGCGGCCCGAGGGCAGCGACGCCGTAGAGAGGCAGCAAGTCTCCGGGTGCTCGACGGCGGCGTCGGCCCGCTGGGCGGCCGCGAACCAGGCGTGGAACTGCGCGACTGGGCTCCGGGCGTCGAGGTGCAGGCGGGTGAGCGTGCCCTTGTTGAACTGTTCGGCCTGGCCGTGCTCTTCCTTGCCGGCGGGGGCGACTTGACAGTAAATGTGAGAAAAATGACTAGAATGTTTTCAAAGGGGGATGTTTTCTCAATGGGATCTTTCTCTGGCAGTGAGATAATGACTGCGGCTTACAGATGAGCTTAGCGGGGTCCTTGGCCGAGTGCAGCGCCATTGTGCTGGTCCTGCTGCCAAACTTGAGAGCCTTTGAAATGAGAAGCGGCCGCATGCAGAATGCTGCGTATCTCTTGTATATCTGTAGCGGGTGATGGAGGCTGGCAGGGAAAGATGTGTTCGTGAGAGTTTGGGGGAAGTCAGTCATCGGCGGAATCTGTATACCATGTAGTGGGGCATTTCAAGCATTCGATCCTCGTCTCACGCCATGACTCCGGAAAGTCCTGGTGTAGGCATTTGGGGTATCACCTGCTTGAGACAGAGGACTTGTATTACTACATTTCTCACGATCAGCGAGTTTCATGTAAGTAATACCAGCTATCTCTGCGATAGCCACAGTGGACAGCAAAAAGTCGTCACGCCGCAGGAGACTTGTACGACGTCATCGTTCCTGATGCTCCGATGTCGCAACTATCTACTTGTCGCAAAGCAGCGCCTGACAAGTCTAGAAAGATCATATGTGCATCGACAGGTTAATACAGGTAGGTTTCTACCCGTTTCGCGTTATCATTATTAGTTTTGTGTTAAATACTTCGCTGTGAGGCCAGAGGCATGTTACCCTGGGGCATACTTTACCTAGAGTTCTTTGGCGTATCACAACTTCTAATCTCCATACTTAAAGCCAGTAGAAGCTAATATAACCACCTAGGGACATCTCCCAAGTACTGTCCTACTGCAAAGACCACAGAGGAGGCAGTCCAAGTGCTGTCGATGACTCGCGAGGCGGCAAGCAAAATAAGCCAAACATCTCACCACTATTCCTCCACCAAAACCATCAGGTTTTGCTCAGTATTTGACAGCTCGACAGCCATGCACTTCACGAGCTACGGCATAAGGGATCAAAAAAGAATTAAAAATACAGCTAATCAAGCCGTACCCAGACTCGAACGGCAAAAAGGCAAAAGCTAGGTTGTAGGTCGTACCGAGATTCGAACTCAGGTCCCCGGAACATTCTATGAGCTTTAGGCGTCATCAGAATCCGATGTGATAACCAACTACACTATACAACCTTTGTGGTGCTGATGTCGGCCTTGATCTTATACCATAATATTAATGCAGAACGAATGCGCACAGCATGGCTAGGGCTTCGAGTAGGGCTCTAGCGGCAAAGCCGACTCACTCTTACTCCGTACAGTGTTGCGCCCATAGACACGCTGCCTGGACTCCGAGTACGACTTGTTCTCTTCCCTCTATCTAGAGATGATGTTTATCCCTTTTTGCACTGTCTCCCGCCTCTTCTGTCTTTGTATCACTGTGGCTCTTTAGTTGCGACAAATCGACAATTGTAGCAGCTAGTCTATTAACGCTGCGACCTTGAGACGCGTGGATGCAACGGACCCATTTTGAAGCATGGTTACGATTTTCTGGTTCCACAGTCTCCTGCAGGGACATGCCGCCCCGAGTGGACGCTTAATATTTTTTTCGAGTCGCCTATGCACCCGCGCATCGGAGGACCCCGCCGAAAACCCTTGGAAGCTCTTCAAGATCTGATAACGGGCGCGTGACGGACAACACCAGAAGGCACCCTTCCCCTTTTTACTACCTCGTCACTTTCTCCACGCATACACAGAGTTAGCGTCCACCTCAACAACCAAGATGGCTGACCAGTCATCGACAATCACGAGCCTGCGCGAGTCCCTGTGCTCGGAGGCAACCCCGCTGCCCGTCCGCTTCCGTGCCCTCTTCTCGCTCAAGCACGTTGCACGCAACGGCGATAAGTCTGAGTCCAAAGAGGCCGTCGACGCCATCGCCGCAGCCTTTGTGTCGCCGTCCGCACTGCTGAAGCACGAGCTTGCCTACTGCCTCGGCCAGAGCAATAATCAGCTGGCCAATGAGCCGCTCAAGAAAGTCCTCGCGGACCTGCAGGAAGACCCCATGTGCCGGCACGAGGCGGCCGAGGCTCTGGGTGCTTTGGGTGACTCGGAGAGCCTGCACATCCTACGCGAGTACCGCGACCGCAAGGGAGAGGACGTGTGCATCACAGAGACGTGTGAGATTGCTATTGATAGGATAGAGTGGGAGAACTCGGAGCAGCGCAAGGCCGAGAAGCTGCACAAGAGGTGAGCCTACGAGTGTTGTGCATCTATTGCTGTACGGGAGCCCGTGGAACTCTAACTACCCTGCTTTCTATAGCGACTTTGCTTCGGTCGACCCCGCTCCTCCTATGCCCGAGTCAAACGCCACCGTCGAGGATCTCGAGAAACAGCTCATGGACACGTCAGCGCCGCTCTTCGTGCGATACCGCGCCATGTTCGGCCTTCGCGACCTAGCCTCTCCTCCTGACCTACCCACATCGACCCCCGCAGTCCTCGCCCTTGCCAAGGGCCTCAACGACTCCTCGGCACTCTTCCGCCACGAGATTGCTTTTGTGTTTGGTCAGCTGTCGCACCCGGCGTCAATCCCGGCGCTGACTGCCTCCCTGGCCAACGTTGAGGAGGCGAGCATGGTGCGCCACGAGGCCGCCGAGGCGCTCGGTAGCCTTGGCGACGAGCCCGGTGTCGAGGAAACCCTCAAGAGCTTCCTCAATGACAAGGAAAAGGTTGTTCGGGAGAGCGTCATTGTTGCGCTTGACATGGTCGACTACGAGCAGTCCGGCCAGGCCGAGTATGCTCTCATTCCCGACGCCGCCCAGCCCATTGCTGCCTGAAGCATCTGGCTAGGTTAAGGCGCACTCTCGGCCGTACTGAGCACCCGTGTATATACCCATTGAACCATAACGATATTCAGAAGGCGTTGGTGGAATCGAGTCTATTGAAATTTCATGCATCTCTTCGTAAGGCCGCTTGGTATATGGTGAAAGGACGAATCAGAAAATTTGTGTGGCTCGTAACTGTTAGCTCCTCAGTTGTTCGTGTTCCACTTGTGTCCGCAGTCGCCGCAGGTATAGAATATTGTGCTGCCTTCATCCGCACCGCGCAGCTGGACGGCCGAATATCTGACGTGCGTCTCGCCGCACTTCTCGCATGGTACATTGGACAGTGCCTCGGTCTGGACCTTGTGTCGTTCCACGGTCTGGACTGTGGATAGCTGCTGGCGGAGGAGGGATGGGAAGTCGGAAGGTTTGCTTTTCGTTGTTACAGTCTTCGAGGCCATATCTGTAAAGAAAGAGCACATATAATTAGCGCTAGCCCAATCGTGCATTATTGCTAGAATGCACCATACCTTGGTTCCTGGTGCCGCAGCATTCGCATTCAAGGACGTTCTTCTCGTTTCCTTTGGAGACTGGGAGGAGATTTCCGCACGTCGTGCAGAAAATGAGCGAGCCAATGGTAGCCATATTAAAAAATGATCTGGTCGAGAAGTTTTCGCTATTCGTCAAATGGTCTGTCGGGTTGCTGCTAGTCGTGCCGTGATCTAGATGTTGTGAGTTGAATGAGTTGGCAGGACTGGCTTGCAATGGTGCGAAGAAGGAAAAAATAGCCCGTACCTGGCGAGCCTGGCACTCTCGAAATGCGCCTGCCAATCAGCAGCTTTACGCAATGCCGGGGGTTGCCCGCAGAGCTGAGTGGACTAGTCTAGCTTGAGTTAGACTAGAGCACCAGGTCCCCTGGCCGGCCGTGATGCCGCTGGAAGTACTAGCGCTGACCAGGTACACCCTCCAGAGTGTATAGCTGGCGTTCCATATAGGTACCATTTCTATGACTATACTTCTCAATGCCGGACTTTGAGATCATCCACGGATGATCTTGGCACGATCAAGTCGCGATTCGAGCTTGCCCTCACTCGTGCTGAAATGACCAACAGCGCAAGCCACACCACGTAACAGACTTGCGTGCCACCACGACAAGTCCTCTTGCCGACAACGAGGAGACGAGTATCGCAGTCTCCGGAACTCTACGAAAGACTCGGCGCGTCAGCTGCACGACCCCCAACGGAAGCGACCCAATTACCCCGTCAAGCGAGGACCGCGAGCAGTCCGACAGGCGCATGCTTCTTCAGGCATTTCCGATCGCACATGGAGGTCAGGCCTCGCCCTGAATTATCGCTCGGTCGGAATAGACGGACTATCATGACCTCGACCTGCGTGCCGAGTGCGCTCTAGACTGTGGATGCTGGCTGGCGAAGCTGCGACCGCGCTTCTCAACATGGCAGATCAGTTCGCCGGTAGCCAGAATGGCAGGATGCCATACTGCAGCCAGATACCAGATCAGCAATCGTATCAGGATGGAGGGCAAAACCAACAATACCAGGCGCAGCGGCAGCCATTTGTGCTTAGCGAAGCGCTGCCGTACACCCCATTCACCTCGATCTTTCCGTTTGAGTCTGGTAAGAGCGACCCACGCCAGCTCCTTCCTTCCCATCCTCACAGACTCTGCATCCCCCAAAGCTGCTCTTTGGGTCGCGCAATGGCTGCATGCACATAGCTTTAACAATTAAAGCTTGCTGACCGTCGCCTGAACACAGACATCATCAACATACCAACAATAGGCTCTGGGCCACTTGCGCCCTCAGTTGCCGGGTTGTTGCCCCGCGACGATTTCAACGCACTCAATCGCGAAGCCTCCGAGCCGACACACTCTAAACGCGTCGATGGTACTCTCGACTTCATACAAAACTTGCTGCATGCTGACAACATCACGGAATTGTACGTTTTGCGTTGCTATATCCCGAGCTCAGGCCAGCATCAGAGACGGTCCAGTCCTCAGGACTTCCTCACGTCCGGGAACTCGTGCCCAGCAGAACTCACAGCACACTGACCTCTCCTTTCTTGCAGCAAGTTCAAGACGGCACCCGTAGCTGGTGCCGTGAGTCGCTCTGGCCCAAAAAGCATAGCTAGCGGCCTTTCTCCATTCACTAAACTGATCTTTGATCAAACATCCGTCGGCTTCAGCCACGCCGCTCCAGAAGTTCTCAAAACGCCAGTCTTGAACGGGCCCAATATGTCTCCCAAGGTGCTGAAGAAGTCCCCCAAGACTCGCCGCGCGGAGCCTTCGAAAGTCGTCAAGCACAATCCGGCCTCCGTTAATACCAGTACATCTTCACAAGGGAGGTCCCGGATCGAAATCAGGCTACCGACGCGAAAGGAGCTCCAGGCTGGTATGCCATCGCAGCGACTGCCGGAAGGAATGCCCGAGCCTACATTTCATCTGCCGCCCGCTTCTGCCCAACCACAGACTGTGTCTCTCGCAGACTTGATGATGAAGCCGCCATCTCCACCACTGATGGGCCCTGCACACGGCTCCACGTCTACAAACACTATCGAGACACAAGCGACCGTCCCTCAGATTGACGCGGTACCACCACAAGTACAAGGGACCAAATCCGAGCCAGCAGCCAAGGTCAAAGAGGAACCAAGCTCTTCCACATTCGAAGTCCAAGCGCCATTTCATGACAACCAGTATCGTGAGACCCATGTTGCGTCCACAGATACTCGCGACGACTCCGAATTCACAGAAGACCGAACGTCTCATGACAGGGTGTCATTCTCGCAAGGTTTGGGACCGAATGGCTTCCAGGTTGAGTTGCCTCCTGCCAAATTTGACAGGCAGGCATTTTCTGTAGTGAATGACACGGTGGATGCGCCTATGCATTACTCAATCAAAAAGGGCTCGGAGTACAATGAAGACGACATGCTGAACAGCGATCTCAATCAGCGCGATCTCGCTAATGTGGCCTTTTCTGAGTTGCAACGGTGCTTTCAGGAAATCTTTGCCACTGAGGATGCTCTTGGTGGGCAGCCGGGAGCCTCATCCCATCTTATCATGGTCACAAGCGACGGTGACTCAATGATGACTGTCGCCGGTCACACTCGAGCTCACAACCAGATCAGGAAGACCATTGAGTTGGGCTGCTTTAAGCAAGCACCAGTGGATGACATCATTCGGATACAGAATCTCAGTGAGGTCTCCATCAAGCACGCGGACTCCTTGGAGTTCAAAATTGATGACGGCTGGACCGAGACGGAAGTTGGCTTTTGGGCCCAGCAATTGCCAGACATCGAGGCTGGGCTTAGAGCAGCACGGACCGCGCTTCGTGTCATGTGTGGTGGCCGCGAAGAGAAACAGCTTTA